TGTTCTATAAAAAGTTTAATAAAACAATTACGGTATCAAATACCAATTGAAAAGATATGGACAACTGTATGGAGCCAAATGAAGAGCGGCAAGGAAACGACAAGAAAGCCGAACGTCTAGCGAAAAGGAGGGAGCTAGCGAAGACGACAACGTTTGCTCGAGGAGACTGCTGAGGAAAGAGAAGCTCGCCTGGGAAAGCGTAGAGAAGCATGGAAAAAAGACTGCTGAAGCGAAAGGTAAGCAAAGGCTTGTCTTCACAACGCTATGTACCAATGATACTGTAGCTATATATACAAGTTGAAGTATGATATTCGACCCTCTATATTCGACTATTTCTTCACAATTTTCCAATAAAGAGTTTGTCATGACACGCTCAAGTCAGTATAACCAGACTGTATTTTATTTATATCAGTTATCACAGCCACAGGCAATTTTATGCTGTCAAATACCGTCGGTTGCAACTAAGGGTGAACAGTTGCAGATAAAACATTCTCTATTCTCATTAAAAGGCCTGTAAAAGTTTTCAGTAAGTCTCTAGCCCAACACGTTCAGACCACACAAAGTTTTGTTACTTATTATTGTCCACTGTACACATGGGAAACAACAATTAAGTTTGTTGTTCTTGACAAACATTGAAGATTCTAATCACGCGAATGTTTTTATGAGCAACTGTTCATCGTTAGTTGCAAGCGACGGTACAAACATTTTTCCGACTGTGACCGAATGTGCAACGATATATTTTTCAAAGTTGTTGTCAATTCCTAAAATTTGTTTATAGTAAAACGGCCTGCTCAGCACTCACTACTCACGATGATTTCATTTAGAAATGCAGTTACCAGGAAAGGAACTGATTCTAAAATATGTAAATTTAAAAGCATTGGCTAACAGAATAAAGCGATGTGAAGACAAGGTACAAACTTTTATAGTTGCTATTTGTTATAAAATCCTATAAATAAACCGATTCAACAATAATATTGCCTCGAATTTGCATATTCTATGCCGCATGTTTATATTTTATTTTTATAGTATAAAAATAAAATTGTAATACTATGAAATAAAATACATTTCTATTTATTGACCAGTACTTATTTAATGTCTTCTTCATCCAGTGGTCAGAGTAAATTTCTACTTCTAGCAAGTAAATATTTGACAAGCAGTCTGGAATAAGCACAGGAATAAGCACAATGAGCCATTTTATAGTAGCAATATGAAAAGTTTTTTTCTTTTTCCATGACTTTTAATGCATCAGCCAAATCCAAGTGTGGCCATCCCCCTCGCCCAGCCATTTTCCTCGCCCAGCCATGAACCTTAGCCCCGGCGGGGCATTTGAAATTAATAATTTCGATTCTTGCACTTCACTTGGTGGAATTAATATTAGAATGTTAGGGTTTGTAATCCAAGTGAGAATATATACATGTATATATTTTGTAATCCGAGTGAGAATATTTTGTAATCCAAGTGAGAATATACAAATGTATAGTACATGTATATATTTTGTGTATATATTTTGTAATCCAAATGAGAATAGTTTGTAATCCAAGTGAGAATATACAAATGTATATATTCTCACTTGGATTACAAACCCTAACATTCTAATATTAATTAATTCCACCAAGTGAAGTGCAAGAATCCAAATTATTGAAGTCCACCTTATCACAACCCGCACACCCGATAACCTAAATATACATGAACTTACGGTTAAAGCTCAACAGCTGGCCTCTGTAGCTCAGTTGGTTAGAGCGCTGTACCGGAATCGCAGGGTCGTAGGTTCAATTCCTACCAGAGGACCTTGTGCTGCATTTTTCGCAGTCGTTCCTGGTTAGGTCTTAAAATGTATATATTCTCACTTGGATTACAAACTCTAACATTCTAATATTAATTCCACCAAGTGAAGTGCAAGAATCCAAATTATTGAAGTCCACCTTATCACAACCCGCACACCCGATTACCTAAATATACATGAACTTACGGTTAAAGCTCAACAGCTGGCATCTGTAGCACAGTTGGTT